ACACTACCCATCTTACACCACTCATCTTACACCACCCATCTCAGACCACTCATCTCACACCAATCATCTCACACCACCTATCCTACACCACCCATCTTACACCACTCGTCTTACACCACTCATCTGACTCCACCCATCTTACACCACTCATCTTACACTACCATCTTACACCACCCATCTCACACCACCCATCTTACACCACTCATCTTACACCACTCATCTCACACCACCCATCTTACACCACTCATCTTACACTACCCATATTACACCACTCATCGACCACTCATCCCACACCACCTATCTTACACCACCCATCTTACACCACTCATTTTACACCACACATCTTACACCACTCATCTTACACACACCACCTATCTTACACCACCCAGGTGCAGTGCACAGAGCCTTCAGGAGGACAGAGTTCGTGGCAGGCACAGCACTTTGTGAACCTAAAGCGCAGATTTCGTGGTAGGCACAGCCCTTGGTGAAGCTGGAGTGCAGATTTCGTGGCAGACGCAGTACACAGAGCCTTCAGGAGGACTTGGTCGCCGCTGGGCCGCGGCTGCCTGTCGCGCAGATTTCGTGGCAGGCACAGCACTTTGTGAACGTGGAGTGCAGATTTCGTGGCAGGCGCAGTACACAGAGTCTGCACGAGGACCGGATGGACGCGTGGTTGCCGTGGACCGCGGCTGCCTGTCGTGCAGATTTTGTGGCAGGCGCAGCACTCTGCGAACCTGGAGCGCAGATTTCGTGGCAGGCGCAGTACAGGACGCGTGGTCGCCGCTGGGCCACGGCTGCCTGCCGTGCAGATTTCGTGGCAGGCGCAGCACTTCGTGAACCTGGAGTGTAGATTTCCTGGTAGGCACAGCACTTTGTGAACCTGGAGCGCAGATTTCGTGGCAGGCGCAGTGCACAGAGCCTTCAGGAGGACGGGGTGGACGCGTGGTTGCCTGTCGTGCAGATTTCGTGGCAGGCACAGCATGTTTGTGAACCTGGAGTGCAGATTTCGTGGCAGGCACAGCACTTGGTGAACCTGTGTAGATTTCGTGGCAGGGGCAGTACACACCACCACTCATCACACACCACTCATCACACAACACTCATCACGCACCAATCGCCACACACCACTCATCACACACCACTCATCATACACCACTCAACACACACCTCTCATCACACACCATGCATCTCACACCACTCATCACACACCACTCATCACACACCACTCATCACACACCACTCATCTTACACCACTCATCACGCACCACTCATCACGCACCACTCATCACACACCACTCATCACACACCACTCATCACACACCACTCGTCTTACACCACTCATCACACACCACTCATCTTACACCACTCGTCACACACCACTCTTCATACACCACTCATCACACCACTCATCCGTCCTCTTTTTCATCAGTCTCTACTTCTCGGTGATAGTTCTTACAAGCTTAACATGTGGGGTTTTCCGGTCCTTTTATTTTTCAGGGTTCGAACATGTCTTGCGCACCGCCACCACCACCACCAGCAGCAGCAGCATGTCATAGACAAGTCTAGAGAAATCAGTGGATCTTCCTAGTTTGGCGATTTTAGCGGCCACTTGCTTCAAGTGTTTCATACGAGCCTCAGAAAAAATAAATAGGAAAAAGTATATAGATTATTCGTTCCTTGCATCTTCTGGGAAGAATTTCAGGAGCCTCGCATAAACCTGTCCTCATCTATCCTTAGGAATTTGACCTCTGAAAGGGGAAACACGTTCAGCCCCGCCTGAGGTCGTTGCCCGTGGGCATTCTGTTCATGTCATTCTCGAAGACCTCTGCACATGGCCGATCGCAGGGATCTTCACCAGTTCAGCCACGCACACCAACCAGCAACGGTTGAAGTCGCGTTAGACTGTTAGACACTGAACACACCACAAGATGGGTTCTCTTGAAGACCAAAACGGGCGGCAACGTTCGACGTAAACAAACGAGAAGTCAGAAAGCCTTTCCGCCTTCACTCTTCACAAGCCCAAATGAAAAATGTCGTGGGAGCGGGGGGACACAATCTCCCAGGTGTTCCTGTAGGCATCCAAGTGGAACAAGGCATCATCACGATCATGTGTTCTTTTTAGTATTTTTCTTCTTCTTCTTCTTCTCCTTCTTCTCCTTCTTCTTCGTCATTCTCATGATCGGCTTTTCCCGCGACGCCCGCTGCTTCAAAAGGTAGCTTTTGAAGGACTGGGCTAATTGCAAGGCGAGTTCAGGGATGCATTCTGAGCTTGCTCTACTTGTTGAGCCCCCCGATGAAGCATTCGCACGTCGCATGAATTGACACATCAAGCCTTCACTCATGGCTCGCATAAGTCCGGATGGGCAAGTGCTGCAGGAGACTCGACGGCCACATGTCACAGCAAATGAAAGTGAGATGTTGACACACACCAGGCCGATCGACAATGGAGCCGGACATCGATGGCAGCCTGCTAGGCAAGCATCGAGACGCTTCAGATTAGTGAGCATCGGTTCCAGTCAGAAACGTGACGGGGCCTACTTCACTGCAGGGATTCCAGGGACCAAGACCAGATCCTGCAGCCCATGTCACCATTTTCTGGTCGCTCGCGCAAATATGTGCACCAGGAGCTACAGTCCACGGTGTGGATTCGACCTTCAGCTTTAACGCGCGATTCCCAAAGACCACTGTGGAAGGAGGGATCATCAATGGGAGGAAGAAATCCACAACTTCATCCCGCTGAATTGGTCGATCCCATGAGCCCATCAGGGCAGGGCAAGGCTCACTGGCCCAAAGTAAAGTTGTTGAGTATTGTTGAACAAAAACAGTACCTTCTACGGGCGTTCCACCACCATAGCCAGTCACACGTTCCCGAACATCTTGTCCAGTAGACTGGACAAGACGGACCGCTGTAGAGTGGCTGGGCCGATGCGGCTCAAAGGCTAAGTCCTGAGAACGACTGCCGGATTCTGACTTCTGACTGTTGTCATTCCCTTCTGGGCACGATCAGGCTGCGTTACTGCAGCAAGGTCCGCGTTGTGGTCAGCTGAGTGAGAGTGGGGAAAGCTGAGTGGGGAGTAGTCCCGGTTGATCTCCATCTGTCGCCCTAGTTCCATTGCAGGAACGGAAAATCGTAGCCCTGGCTTGCCTCTCGTCCTGGATCAGATTGTGGAACTTCACCCAAGTCTGGACCAACACTGCGTCGAGGTTGGTTTGCTGCAGCCTCTGGACTCGACTGACAAATGCGCGGAGGACCGATGCGCAATGGCATGGCCATGTCCTAAGGAGCTGTCTGCCTTCATTCTCCGTGACCTGCATCATGTTCACTATGATGGAGCCCTGACTTAGGCCCAAAAAAGCCATGTAGTGCCTATTGCCAAAACACTGCTGAGATTGCAATGCATCAAGTCCGGCCTATTGCCCAAAACAATAAACGGCAATCCGTTTTGTTTGTCCTTCATCATCATCATCGTCATCATCATCATCATCATCAGCAGCAGCAGCAGCACCAGCACCAGCACCATCACCACCATCCTCATCATCATCGTCATTCTTTCGTTCTTTTTTTCCTGAGGTCATCGAGTCACTGATGGCGTGGACCTTAGGCCTTTTTGGCGGTCCGGCCTTCAGCCCGTAGCGTCAATGACCAAAAGTGGAATCCACAGGCAAGGCAATGGCAAGAGTAGATTCCCTGGCCCGAGGCACTGAGATCTTCTGAGAGTTCGGAAGCATCAAGAATCGAAATGTGTCATCGTCACCCGTCACCGTCCATCATCAGCATCATCGTCGCCCCCACCACCCCCACCACCACCAGCAGCAACAGCATCATCAATTAAGTAATCTTGGTTCACCAACAAAGCTGCATGAAAGTTGAAGGATCTCCAGTCCCGTCACGGCCACATGGACTTCCAACAAGTACATACAGCCCGGCATGGCCTGCCGCAGCTCAGCAAAGCACTTCCTCAGGACAAGAGGTTTGCGTCTTCATTTGGACCCACAAACAAACGGACCCGGATGACAGGTCCGCCGATTTGTCTGTTCCCGTATCCGAAGCACTGGAGCTGCAGCCCTCCATGCAATCAGTCGGCAGTAGATGCACTAGGGACAGGAGTGACCGGAGGAACCCACAATGGCAATGGCAAGTGCAGCACAGGGCCCAAAATCAATTTGCAATAGCTGAAGGATAAGGGTGAAATCCTTGGGGAATCTTGGGGAGTCGTGTTGATTTTGGGTGAATTTAGATACCAAGCTTGTAGATGACATTCATCTTTCACAGGTTTGCTTTGGCATGTTGTTCACGGGGGCAAGGTCTTGGTAGGAACTCACCGAGGTCTGCCGGACATCCAACATGCCGGACATGAGTTGATCGGTTGATCTGTCGTATCCCGCCTACGGGCTGGCTAGCAGCCTCTATTGGAGTCTCCTGTTGGGCACCTTGAGGCTCTACCAACCGCCTCGGTGAGACGCACAGATCCCTCCACCACGAAGTCCGCCCAACAGCCGAGAGACTTCTCGATCTTCGGGTTCCGTGCGATGTGATACCTCGGTGGAACCAGGGAGAACCACTGGGAGAGGCACCTTGGCAGTGCCCTTCCTGCCTTGACAGTGCCTGGCATTGTGGCTTTTGGATGCTTTTAGCCTGTTCCCCCATTGAAACATGGGCCGCCGAATTCGCCGAGTTCAAGGATGCGGCCACATGTTGCTGTGAAGTTCCGAAAACCACACTTAGAGGATCCACGTCTTTGATCCAAATGAGCTGTTCAGATTCTTCATGATTGTTCTATGGATCTCGGTGCCCCAAATGAGCTTGGGCCCTCCACATGTTGAAACGCAGAAGACTCAACACCCATCCAACTCCTCAGGTACCACTGACCAAGAAGTACGTGGACGGGGTGAAGGAAGTCAATCCCCAATCTGTTTTTTGCCTGAGGCCCTGCCTCCTTGATGAAGTATGCTACGTAAATTAAGTATCAATGAACGGCAAACTTGTACGCTCCTAGCTACTGGACGCAGGATAGCTCAGGCTTCTTCAAGAAAGCTCCCCCTGCCCGAGGGGGGGGAGCTTGAAGAAGCGCTCGCACCAATCATTTAGTTCCTGGGTTTTATGGGACACTTGGGGCTCCAGTTCCAATCCTCTCAGGTTGGGTTCAAGGCTATTTATTGGAGGGATTCAACCTGAACCTGGCGGCCATTTGTCAAGTTGGCACGCCTCCAAAGCCCCAGACTGGAGGATAGTTCTGATCAACATCGTTAGATTCTCCTCTCAAGTTCGACCTTCTTTCTTCAAGCTAATTGCAGCTAGCGCTGGCTAGCAAAGCAGTCCAAACATTCTCACACAGCCTGCCCTGCTCGCTTGATGAGAGCTCTTGCTTCCTCGATGCAAGGACCAAGTCAAGAGAAGCGTTGTCGTCTTGTGCCCAGCGACCAACCTGGTCATTCCGAGGAGAATGAAGGACGTGAATGGTGGCGGTTCGTTGGAAAGCGTTTCTAGATGTTTCTACTTATAATACGTGGATGGCTGGGCTTTGGCATTGACCATCATTGACCATCAACTTTCCAACGACTTACTCAGCGCATCGCACCCTCGTTTTCCCGAACGCAAACGTGTGCATACACCCAAGGAGCATGGTAAGCAGCTGATCTCGAAGCTCAGACTGGGTGAAGTGCCGCTGCGTCAGGGGACACTTGGCATTGATGAGATGAGACAGCCTTGGTGGCGAGCGCGGATGCATCGCGGAGGTGCGGGCTCCTCTGTTTCTTGGGAGGAAGTTTCTGGCAGGTCGCTGATTGAAGGTGGATCTTCCGAAATTGGGGTTCACCTCAGTGAGATTGCCACACCTTTGGCAAAAAGATGCAAAGGGTATGTACTGTATGGAGTTTGAGCTACATCGCGGAAGGATCTACTGAAGCTTGCGCCCAAGGCTGCGGGCAGGTGTCCCTGTCCCATGTTCCCAGTAGATGTTTCGATGTGCCACCTTATCCATCTGCAAGAGGAATTCTACATGTGTTTCATGTTTGCATCTACTAAGAATGGAAGTGGATCATCATCGATTATCCAGATGGCCAGCTACATTCATGGTCCAGCTGGATGGTGCCTAGCGATCCATTCACAACCGTGTCGCCGATCCCAGGAAACAGGAAGGACAACAAAAGAATGGCGTCTTCAGCCTAGTCGAAGGATGTTGAGCAAACTTGGCGTTCCAAGTGGCAGAGCACCGTACTTGGACCTAGGGCCTTGTGGTGTGTCTCCATGTGTCTCTGCTTGGATCCGAAGCCTCTACCCATCCATTCTCTGATCTGACCACCCATCCCAAGCAACAGGCTGTTCTCGGATCCAGAGCCTCGACCTTCCCTGACGGTTGCGCTGAGCAGCTATCTCAATGCATGTGTTTGGGATGGGTGCATGTACCATACACTTCCGTCTCTGTCAACTTGTGATACATTTTCTACCTGTATATATACACTCCTCAGAACTTACCAGGAAGTAAATCTCGGTGAGGACGCTGTTTACGAGGAAGTTGGTGACCATGTACATCCCCGTGTCAAACTTACGAGGAAGAAGTCTTACCCAACACCAACATATAATAACATGCAGACCCTCCAGTAAAATGCTAAACATAGAAGGTGATAGGAGAACCGCTTCCTCGTAAGTTCTGGAGAGAGTATACTACATCTTACTACCCGTGTCTATGTAATGTAGAGTTTCGAACTTGAAGACCAGAACATTCCAGGGCTACTAGGAACAAGAAGCTACTAGGGGCTCCTGGCCGTACTACTAGGAGCAAGGACGCTACTAGGGGCTATTGTCCTTCCTCCGGCTCAGCAAGTCACATGGGGTCTGATCACAACTTATCACAGCGACGTGGCAAGCGCCGTCGACCCACAACTGGCCGTTGAGCGACTGGTCGTTCCGTGAAAACAAAGACAGAAAAAATATCCCCAGTCATGCGTGGTCGAAGACATTGATCTGCATCATTGTTAAATATCAGTAAGATGATGAAGGATTATTGTATATTATGATTATGGATCATGAAGGGTATTCGGTATTTATTAGATATATAAATGTTGCTGGTCGGCCCGCTTGACTCTCCCATCACACAATGAACAGCCAGAGCTTGGTGAGGACTCTAAGGGAACCTTCAGAAATTGGAAACCTGATCATCTGATTTGTGACGTCAGTGTTCTGCATATGTTGATAAGGCAAAAGTCAACAAGTGGGCACATCCGATGCCTGCGTCAAAGCTGAGTCAAAGTCTCAGCTCTTGCATTGAAGATTGTCAAGGAGCACCTCCAGTTTGTTTGGCGAATCCTTCCCGAGAATCAGAACCGAAGGTAGTGATCCTTGCGTATGTAGTGAAGTGTGTGTGTGTGTGGCAAAGAGTCTGTGCCGGTCTAGGACTGATGAATCGCAGGAACCTGCGGAATGCATGGTTTCTCCATGACTTGTTGGGAGGCATGAAGGCCTTCATGGCCTCTTCTCCCCCGCCCTGTGGTTGACGTACTCGGAATCCTCGCCTGGTCGCCTCAATGATCTCATCCAACATGCCATCCAACTTGCTCAGCTGCCTTGCTGTGGCACCCTCGAAGCACCGTTTCCACCGCACCACGCCGCACCTGGTGGAATTGTAAACCTGTTGGGATTGGCCTCGGTTCAGATTCTTTGGGAAGTCACGGTGGACATAGGATCAAGAACTCCATCATCCCCACGAGTATTCTGGCCTAGATCACTGGCCCATGACACTGCGTCTTTGGAGTGAAATGGAAGCTTTGAAAGAAGTGTATATCGGACTGTGGCGGACTCTTCGTTGGAGCTACATCCACCCGCCTTCATTGGAATGGTAATCCTCAATTGCTGGATTTGCCAGTTCCCATGTTCCCAAGGTTGGTCTCCTTGTTGCTGGACATCAAATATATGGAGAGAATGGCCTATCAATTGGACATCTTCCCATGTTGGATATGTGTCTCTTCAATAATAGACCACCCAAGAGGTTACTCCATGGGAGCCACAAGAAACCAATTTCGCATTGCTTGAAATGTCCGAGCAGTCCTACTACACAGCACTTAGGGAAAGCAAAATCAGAGCAATAGGCCTCCAGAAAGTTCAGCGGCGGCAGCTCAACTTGCTTGTGCTTGCTCGTTTGCTGATCCCAGAAACGAGAATCGCCATCCGCTGCACAGTGATGAGGCCAGGTGCGATTCTTAACCCCTCGCACCCCATCACAACGGCACTGCCAGATCCAAGAGGCCCCTCGAACCATCGCTTCCGTGTCCCAAGCAGATCCTGGGCGTGGTCAGGGCCAACTTGGGTTGTTTCAAAATAGGAACGTAGCGGTGCCCTTTGCTCCTAGTAGCGTCCTTGTTCCTAGTAGTAAAGCCAGGAGCCCCTAGTAGCGTCCCTGTTCCTAGTAGCGATGCCCTTTGCTCCTAGTAGCGTTCTTGTTCCTAGTAGTAAGGCCAGGAGCCCCTAGTAGCGTGCTTGTTCCTAGTAGCGATGCCCTTTGCTCCTAGTAGCGTCCTTGTTCCTAGAAGCGATGCCCTTTGCTCCTAGTACCGTTTTTGTTCCTAGTAGCGACTCCTAGTAGCGTTTTTGTTCCTAGTAGTAAGGCCAGGAGCCCCTAGTAGCGTCCTTGTTCCTAGTAGCGATGCCCTTTGCTCCTAGCATACCAACAGTCCCCCAATCGGATTCAAGACGGCCCATGAGGCCGCCATCATGAGGCCAGTTCCGGATGATCTCATGGTCTCCATGAATACCTACACTTTTGCACAACAAAAGTCACAACACAACACCTTTGTGTGACCCACGGGGCTTCCATCTCACTTTCTACTTTGGACTCTTCCATCAAGACGAAAGTAAAATAGCGAAATGCTCAGAAACCGCTTCAAAAGGCCCCTTTCTTCTATGCGCCAAGGTCAACAAGGTTTTTCGACGTGTTTTCACTGTCAACCTCTTGGATACTGGAGCGCTCGTCCAAAAGGAAAGTTTCCTCGCTCTTGTCTGCGGCCGGCTGGCAAAAGCACCATACAGGCTGGAGTTGATACCTCGGCTGTGGAAGTCCCCCCGGACGTCCCGGGCGAGGTGAGCGGTCCCTGTCTCAAATCACAGGTTGCAACCCTGCAGAAAAGAGATGAAGTCTTCATCTTCTGACGCATCAATCAATTTTGCCTTTTTTGCGATTTGTTTGATTGTTTGTCTCAGTCTGAGGGGTAGCCACTGGGGGAGCCTTTATGTATTGAATTGTCAGGGCTGTATGTGATGAGTCTTCGGTGCGAAGCCAACCCACTCCAGGCCAAGTACTGATTTCGAGGACCTCTTCGAAGAGTGGAAGAAGGGGAGGCATCTCCTCAGGGACAAACGGACAGTTTGACAATGTCCACTGTTGATCCCGATTGTCTGGGCCCAGAGGTTGTAAAGAGGTGATAATGGGTCCAGAGTGCAAGAGCTTGGGCTTTACACCAAATCTTCTTTTCGCCGTTTCCATGAACCTGTCCCACCAGAGGAAAGCCCCGTGATTTGCCAACCTCCTTTGACATCTGAGAATCGATGTTCACAAAGGGCTCCTGAAACAATCATGGAATCTGAACCTAGCCACACAGCCAGTCTTCCAGCCGCCCAAGTGTCTTGCAGAATTCTCTGGAGCATCACGGAGCAGGATACCCTCAGTCCCTCAAACCCAAGCAATTACCAGTTTCAGAAAGTAGGTCGTGCATTAAAGCTTCATTAGACGAACAAACACCGGGTGTCCCACCTTCCAGGTACCGGAAATTGTCTGCTTGGATTGAATCTGCATCTGTGCTGATCCCCAACCGAAGCGATCAATACATACAGACATCCAGATTTGTCACGCATGTCTTCCGGAGCTCTGCCGACAAAGGCTCTGCCGATTCCATGCATTTCAAGTCATGGCCAAATCCCACCTGCGATGGAAGATGGGTGGAGGAATGGACTGCACTTGGCATCAATCCCATTCTCGTAGATGGGAAGTAAAGCTTCGTCTCTATGTTTGTCATGTACCTTGACAGCTTGCCATCATAGAATCGTCGTGGTTCTTAGACAACTGCCTAGTTGCAATGAGATAGATGCAAATCACGTAATTACAAGGATAAGCTAGGCCTGTAGGCCTAGGAGGTCTTCCTTCACCCCTACATGTCATCGACGATCTCAGGCTGACAAACCATGGTCAACGCAAATCTTGGCTACAAAGCCCGTTTCGTGAGCCGACGGGTTCGTGACCCGTGACTCGTGACCAGTCGAGTGGCATTGCAAATGGTGTCCATGGTGACCTTCTCTACCCAAGCCTTGGGTCAAGAGGAGTGTCTCATCTCAACCGTTTGATTCCTAGTCATAGTCGAGGTTCCGCTTGAAATTCTTCACATTCACATATTGAACATCACAAACCAATACAGTCGAAGGAAGAAATCGGCATGTACAGTAGGTTGAACCAAGGTTGAACCAAAGCAAATGGCCGGCTGACCAAAGGGCCCCCAGTTACAATAGAGAATACCGCGGAAGGTTCACCTATTCAAACCTGTGACGTGGAGTTTGAGGTGTTCTTGGGATTTCCGATGCTTTCTAAAAATTGCAGTCTGTTTCAAGAGTGGGAACGAAACAAAAAATACATAATCATATATAACTATATAATACTATATATATGTAAAAAAGATCTGCAAAAAGAACATAAATAACAAAACAGTGTCAGGGATCCTTCACAAACCTCTGGAAGCTTCATCCACCCTTCGATTCCCGCCCCTCGCCGCCTTCGATATCCTTCGATATCCCGAGCGGAGGCCAAGATTCAAAAATGTCGATCTGCTCGGGATTGGCACTGATCACCGCCTCGAGATTGTGGTTTGGACTCGTTCCAAGATGTTCGAAGAGATGGGTCGCTCTACGACTCGCAAAAACATGCAAAAGCTCTTGGACCTACTAGCTGTCAAACTGAGTAAGCTGGGTCTTTGACCTACTCAACTCAGACAGGTTCTGTAAGTCTATGGAAAGAGGACCTTCCTGTCCTGGTCAAAAGACCCAGCTGTAGCCCTTTGCCTAGGGCCTAGGTCGCAAAATGAGGAACACCTCTCCAATTGATGGGTGTTCATCTACTTTCTGAGCTTTCTAGGAGTATAGGGGTATGGCAAATTGCATTGCTTCAGACGGGGATTCGTTAAGATTGATATAGATCGATTGCTGTGCAAAAAGGACGGGTGCCTTCTGGTGAGCTTTAGGCTCAGCCACTCGACCGTGGAGGTCTGAGAACGGTGGTTTATCTTGTCTTCCCTCCAAAAAGACATGTTTCATGACATGACATGACAGGACATGTTTCACTGATGTTCAACGAGATTCTTGCCCACAGCTGGGTCTTGGGTGTTGACCCCTGCCCACGCCGCCTCGAGCTGGTGGCATCGCTCAGCAAAGATGGGCACCAGCTCGTCGATGGCCTCCGGAGTCAGCTGCGCCTCGCGGGGCAAAGGTGGAGAGGGGGGGGATTTGGCGGGGCAACGGTGAAAATGGACGCAGGATCTTCTTGGGAACAAAGCAGAACTGGCTTTTCAATGTTTGACGGACCGTTTTCGGAGATGTTTGACGAAAGCAATAGTGCACACAAACAAATCAAATCTGTTCCGCAGCCTGCAGCGCATGCCGGGCGAACCTGGGGAAATGATGACAGTGGGCCTGAGTGGGTCCTTCCCAAAACCAACTGCCCGGAATCACAAAATGAGGCATGGTGGGCATGGTCAAAGTTGGTGGGTTTGCTTCAACGGTTTCTTTGACTTTCCCCACCTGGCCATCCAAATCAATCATGGACTACACAGTCAGTGGTCTTCACCATCTTCGCCATCCCTCAGATCCATCAAACCCAGATCACATGTTGTTCCTTGGGTGAATGCTGGCGAGTCTGCCAGGTCAGCTTCGCTTTGGCCTCCATCCAGTCATCTGAGTGAATTAAATTAGTTTCATTAATTTCGTTCACCTCGTACCTCGTCTTAATTTCATGTTTTGAAATTATTCACCTCGCCTCGCTTAATTTCAATAATTTCACTCACCTCGTCTGCATTTGGTGGGGGGGGCCTGAATGCCTGCCATGGCTTCCTGCACGTGCAAACTAGTAATCGGGCCTATTTCTTGACAATAGGCTTTTTTTTTGTCTTTGGGATTATTGGGGCTCTCTGCCCTGCATGGTGGGTGGAAGAATCCCTGTAGCTCCTGGAAACTACACCCAACAGTGGCCCCTACAAGCCCCAATCCCTTCAAGCATGCTTGGGTCAAAATCGGGCCTATTTCTTAAAAATAGGTTGTTTTTTTGTTTTTGGTATTCTTGGAGCTTCTGTGTGCCATGGTGAGTGGATCCCCTGTAGCTCCTGGAAACTACACCCAGCAGTGGCCTCTACAAGGCCCAATCCCTTCAAGCATGCTTGGGACAAAAATCGGGCCTATTTCTTAAAAATAGATCGTTTTTTGGTTTTTGGTGTTTTTGGGGCTTCTGCGTGGCGTGGTGCGTGGATCCCCTGCAGCTCCCGGAAGCTACACCCAGCAGTGGCCTCTACAAGCCCCAATCCCTTCAAGCATGCTTGGGACAAAAATCGTGCCTATTTCTTAAAAGTGGGTTGTTTTTTTGTCTTTGGTCTTCTTGGGGCTTCTCTGCATGGTCTTCTGTCTGCGTGGTTTGGGCATTGTCCTCATGAGAAGTGTCAGTTTAGCCCGGTCGAATAACCACACTTCGCAATCGAAACGTTATCTGTTCAACTCCCCCTGTGGTAGTATTCGGTTGGCTCTTTCCCTTGCCGGTTCCCTTCAACTTCAAACACCGAAAATAAAGTCAGGCCTATTTCTTAAAAATAGGTTGTTTTTTGGTTTTTGGTATTTTGGGGGGCTTCTGTGTGGCATGGTGAGTGGACCCCCTGTAGCTCCTGGAAACTACACCCAGCAGTGGCCTCTACAAGCCCCAATCCCTTCAAGCATGCTTGAGACAAAAATCGGGCCTATTTCTTAAAAATAGATCGTTTTTTGGTTTTTGGTATTCTTGGAGCTTCTGTGTGGCATGGTGAGTGGATCCCCTGTAGCTCCTGGAAACTACACCCAGCAGTGGCCTCTACAAGGCCCAATCCCTTCAAGCATGCTTGGGACAAAAATCGGGCCTATTTCTTAAAAATAGGTTGTTTTTGTTTTTGGTATTCTTGGGGCTTCTGTGTGGCATGGTGAGTGGAGTCCCTGTAGCTCCTGGAAGCTACGCCCAGCAGTGGCCCTTACAAGCTCAAACCCTCTGTGCTGCTGCTGTTGCTGGACTTACCTCGCTTATTTTCGTTTTGAAATTACTCTACCTCGTACCTCGTCAGTTGAGCTCGCCTTAATTTGCCCAGAGTCATGGCAGCGAACTGTCACGAAACGAATAGTGTGACAAGTCGAATTCAAATGCGATAAACGGGGAATCAGCGGGGCTTGTACTGCAGTAATTAAACGAGTCGAATCCTTTTCAGACCATCCCATTGGGGTCATTGGGGTTTTGCTCGGCACACTTTAAGTACAGGACTCACCGAGTGCGAGTTCAAACTCACCCGTTTAACACCCAACTCGCACAGATCCTTCATGTCAAAGGCGCTCCCAACGCTGTCCATCAGCGATGAACACCCCTTGGTTCGCCAGGGCTTTGCAGCCAAAGACCTGGAGTGCAAGAGGAGTATGAGGCCTGGGCAACACGATCCGAGCGTGCATGGCTTCCTGGAAAGTTCAATTCTTTGAAGCCGACTTCTAAGGCCAGAAACAATACATCACAACCCTCCAAATGGAACTAACTCGGAAACAATACCATCCACTGAACCCTACCCAAACAATTCAGTACCCCGTCGTACCGAACCTCCCATCTTCGGGCCGACCTCCTTGGGAAGTCGCTTGTCCGGGATCTGGGTCACCGCTTCGAAGGATTCGGGGTCCGCACAGACCTCGGGACGCGGGGCCGAGGACGAGGAACAGGTGGCGGCGGGGAGAAAGCGCAAGAGGTGGTTTCTGTGGAAGAAGCATGAAGAAGCCCATTTAGTATTAATTAATGATTAAGGTCCAGGTCAATCTTGTGATGTTATGTGAGGGTCCTGACTAAAACCATCACAAAGAGCCGATCATCCCGCACATCCATTGCACGTCATTGCATGTGATGTGAACTGGATCTGAAGTGTTTGTGTCAGATCAGCTACATCATGTCACGTCAGTCTGGCTGCTTTCCTTGGTCGTTTGCCAGGTCGGTGAGGGGTCGTTTAAGTATAACCGTGGGTCTTCTGCGCCATGAGGAAACCCAAACACACTTCTGTCTTCCACTTTTTATAGTCCCAGTCCAGCTGCTAATTGGGTTGATCTCAAAGGGTTTCATCCATTTCAATGTCCCTTTCTATGCTAAAGATTCGTCTGGGGAGCTCTCCGTGTTCGGCCACGGGCCACAGCCCTTGGGTAGCCCGAAAATCTCGGAAGGATTATCAGTCACATCAGTCGCCTGTGGCCTCTTAACCCGCCACACAACGAGTGACATAGACCACGTCATCGAAGATCCGGAGCTTGACCAAGGGGCCGTACCTCGCGAAGTGAAAGGAGAGGTAGAAGTCCAGCATCCCGGTGTGACTTAGTTTAAGGTCTATGAGTCTATGTTGTTTTTGGTGTCACGACCTCTCGTGACTCGCGCAGGCGTTCGTGTTCCGCCAGTTCTAACATATGTTCCGTTTCAGTCGTGGTTTCGACGTGCTGTGGAAGGGACGGGGGGCACGGGGGGTGGGGCCAACTACGTTGAGACTTGTTGAGTTCGAGGGCCACGGTACATTGACCACAGGTTTTGAAGCTCAATGCGTTCGTTATCCCTTCGTTGTTGTGTGTGTCTCTGTGCGTTGTGATTCCTCTTCGGTTGACTCGTCGTGACTCGTCTTTGTTCTTTCCGTCCCCGTTGTTGAACTTTTTTCTGGTGGACATTTTTTACTTGGACAGTTGCGCTGGACATTAGTAAGACCCTGACCGGTGGGTGTTAGATTTCTATTGTCTGGAGGAGTATGGGTAATTTTTGTGAGTGTGTTGGCTGTCCGTGTGTGACGAATTTATAAAACAATGTACATACCACCAAGGGTCACAGCATGTCACAGCCTCTTTGTTTGTGTTGAGTCGGTCTCTTACGTTTTCGCGATTTGTCAGTGACGTCAGCCATGCCGGATGGTCTTGCTGACGCAAACACTGTGCGTTCAACGTGAAAACTGATGATGCAACTTTTGGGGGGGTTGGAGGGAATGGTGCGCTTGTGAATCCCAAAGTAAATGCATATACAGGTTCAAAATAGAGTGGAAATATGCGGAAACATGAACTGAGACAAAGGATATGCATCTAAAAAACACTGAGAATTACCATGAATTGATTCACGATGACATAAGTGCCACACCCACGACTACGCGAGTCATTCGGGGTCGTGTTACCTTGCTTTTGTTTAAGGTGTTTGTGGATGTCATAGGTGCAGCATAGGGCTGTGTGCAGTCCTAACAGACCTTCTGGCATGATTCCGGTCAAAACTACAACACCTTGAGACATGGGGTCAACCGATTCACTGTGATTGCACATATTTGTGGATGATGACGGTTGATGGCGAACAAACGACCAAAGAGCGGATACCCTGTTTGCTGTGAACGCGCAACCGTTGGTTTTGAATGGACTGCTGAAATCCGGCTCTGATCCGGCTCTGCGCCAACCTGGCGGCCAACCAGGGCTTTCTTGGAAGAATCGAGGAGATGACTGGACTCCGAGCGTCCATCGATTACACACAGCAGAGCGTGGGAGAACTCTTGCGAGGGCGAAACATTGAAATTTTGATGGAGCCGGTGCACCGAGCGCCGCAGCCCCTGGTCTGTGAGAAGAAAAAAGTGGATTGCTGAGACCTCCGGGTCAGCTGAGACCTACTCAAACGAATCGCGGCGGTGTGAGGCATCGTGAGGCGTCGTGGCTGGATGAGATCGTTGAAGCAAATCCCCAAGCGGTCCTCAACAAAGACCTTGAACATCCTTTAACATCCCCCCGAGGAATCCAATTCAAGGATGCGGTGATGTCCTTTAACCTGCGGCACTGCTTGCCAAAGTATGTCGCGATGATGGGCCCGTGACTATTTCCTATCAGAGTTGGAAGTACAATGTGACATGCTAGCGTGTGTGCGGTCCACAAGTCACTTGAAGTTGACATCACTCGCTGTTTCATCTGACCTCCGGGGCCACACCAGACTGTTGTTCGGCGCACTTCTCGCAAATGCTGAAACATTTGATCCAAAGGTCCGGCAAACCTCGGGCATCGAGGTTTTTCGTGGAGTTTCTCTGAGCGAGTCATATGTTTGCTGAGGGGGCAACACAAGTTGTACGTTTGCTTCTGAACCCCAGACAATGCCTGCGTCATTCTCCATGGCACCAGTAAAGTCAAACCAGGCATGATGATGCAAGCGTGGGTTGAGACACGCTATCAGCATCCATATGCCAACAGCCTGGGTGAGTCCAAAGTCCCAGATCCAACCAGCTCGCCGGACCGTTCGGGGCGTTAGGGAAACCTTATAGCTGGGACGATGAGTCCAGCATCTGAGTGTTTTGTACTCCTGAACACGCGCAATGCGTCAATGCGTCACCTTTTTCCCCGTTCCATCAGCACTGCGGCAATGCGTTCAGCTATAATAACCTCAATTGCTGAAATGATGATGTTGGAACATGCAATGCAGGGCTGAATGAGACACGTCACTATACAATAATATTACATATCTATCTACAGTATATAAAATTCCATATATATTTTTTGGGGTGTATATTACGTATACAGTGTTTTGGCTGGAAAAACAGGGGAAAATAACCACCTCGTCACTCACTTCGGTGTGAACGTGGGTCGTAAAGGGTGGCCCAGCAACATCCGATGGATTGGACGGTGGCCATGGAGGGATCGTGTCCGCGGTGCTACACTCTGACATGGCCGACATTGCCTCGCAGTCCTCGGACACCATGGGCGACATTGATTGGTGAACACATGTGAACACCAAACACCATGTATATTTGAGAACTGTTCAGAAATGCTACACTTCTCATCTTGAAAACACAGATATGCCACACTTCTCATATTGAACACAACCCACGAGTGTCCTCATCTTCAATCCCAATAGAAAGCACTTGAGACAACATGTTTTCCCCAGATCCCATCCTACAGAACCTAAGGCCATAAGGAACAGGCGCCCTAAGGGCGTGGGTGCCTGATGGTGCCTGTTTGACACGATGCCTGTGGCGCACCTGTTGGAGGGAGGCTCTGGGTCAAAGCCAGACCTTGGTTGGCCTGCCTGGGAGGTCAAGCTCCGGACCAGCCCTCCAAGTTTTGACCCAGCCCCATATGAGCCAATGACCACTTCCATTTGAGGGACAGGTCTTTTTGAGAAAACCATGAAGGCTCAAGCATGTCGTTTGAGATGACCCATCAGAAGAACACATGGTAGTCGCCTGTCTCCCTAATCCCAAGAATCACCCAACACGCTAGACACGTTGACGATCCCATGTGGTACGACCTTCGCTCCCAGTCTCAGTTCGATCTTTCCCATTTGCAACCTCGCCCTCCTCACCACCTCGGATGACGCAAGGTAGTGCGAACGAGAAGCCCAGAGTGGCCAGTGGGAATGTGGCACACACTCCAATGTTTGGGATTTGATGAAGTTTAAACTTTAAACACCTTTGAACTAAACATGAACCAAAACGAGATTACCATCTACTCTTACTCTAGTGTCAAAGGTATGTACTAGGCATTTCTGGTGCAGTTTCAATGGAAACTGGCTTTATCAGAGACAGGGGTGAAATTCTCAGCCAATAATCATTTTGAGACTGACACTCCATCAATGGCTAGGTCACTCACCAAATCACCACAGAAGCCAAGTGGCCGCAACCTCGAGCAACCGGTTTGGTCATGTTTCCCCCCCCCAACACAACCCTTCTCACCCTTCTCCCTCAAATCACCGGCTCTTTACTTAGTCGGGAAGTCCCTTGATCTGCAGAGATTCGCACTGGGGTCTTCTTCTCCTCTATCTAGGAGCACTAAGTATCTAGAATCAAAAGATATCGAAAACAGTCGTGCAAAACTGCACCTCCCGCGCTTTTCGGTGCTTCCAGGGTACCAGGTGAGGCACGAGTCTCAGGGCCCTCGCCCACCAGGCACGCCCAGGCAGAGCCACCCTGCAAGCAGGGCAGCCCAGCGGAACGGTCCTCGCGGCCACGGGCCTTGGATGGCACGGATAGACCCTTTTGGAGGTTTGATAGGAAGTTTTGGTTTGAGGTTTCATGAAGAAAAGCATTGTGGAGGAAAACATGCCGCGATGTGTCAGCAATGAAAAGCATGTGGTTAATCTTGGAAAATTAGGGTTTCAGGTTTCTGGTCAATCTTTGGGGATGTCCTTTTGAAACTGCTAGCCCATGTCAAGCCATCAAACGACAACCCCCCAAGAACAGTGAAACGATGAGATGTTGGCATGAAAACGTAGGTACTGTTGACCAAGCTTTCTGGCATGCTCTCACTTGAAGACATGGCGAATAACTATTTTCAACATTTTGCCATCAACGCTCGGATGCTCTCTAAACAAACCAAACTCGGTAGTTGTTACAAAGGCGCGGTGGCTTTTGGCTTGGCTCTGAGAGCTGAAAGTGATTGATAAAGAGAGCGGGTGTGCTTGGGATAGAGCATAGACCCCATAACAGCTTAGTCGGCAAGAATTGTTGTTGGCCAGCCCCAGCCCCTCCTTGGGAAGCAACGTAAACAGCACAACAGCGACAGGACAACAGAAGGACCAGAGCAGGACATGAGGAGGACAGCAGAGGACAAAGGATGAGGAAAGGAAAACAACACGAACACACCAAGAGCTAAAGGACAAAAGAAGGACAAGCTGTGACCGGAAAGCGCCAAAAGGACAACTGTTTTCCTACGAGAGAACCCTGCAAAAAGAGGACAACAGGAGGACAAGGAGAGGACATCGGCTTCTGGGGTTGTTTTCTGGAGTTGTCTTGCTAGTCCCTCACCGTTTTGTAGTGTCCACTGGCATGTTGTCATGTTTACAGACAGGCTGCGACGTGGCCACGCTGCGGCACTGCGGTCTTCCCGCTTGCCGGCTGGCACTTTCCCACTAGGTGCCACACAAGGCGTGTGCACGTGGGAAATTGTTTTCTCGCCTTGGACCCTTTGATTGCGCTTGGTAGTGTCATGTCTTCATGCGGCCGTGCTGTCATCTAGACAGCAGCAGAAGGACAACAAGGGGACAACAGGAGGACAAGAAGAGGACAGAAGGAGAACGGCCGTACACAGTGTTCACCGGCGCGGCCAGAGATTGTGGGCAGCTTCTTTTCTCCTAAGAGAGAACCCCAACAGTAAACTGTTTGGCGAAACCTGTAAACAACATTCAAATTTTCAAAAACTGCAAAATGCAAAATCGTTCGATCTTCCCGTGCCCAATCTCCACGTGCAATGTCGAATGACAACAATTGACAGCTCAATCTTAGGTCTTAGGCTGTCCACTATCCACTATCAATTTGCAATATCAATTCAATGACAAAAATTATCAGCTTGATCTTCCTCTGTCCGACATCACTTATTGCCTGGCCATCCGCATTGATTTGTTCTCATTATCGGTCAAAGCTGTTTGGATTTGAATTTTGAAAGGTTGCCGCCTCTCATCACCAAGTGCTCACTTTGAGTGATTGATATCAGATATGCAGACTTGAGCTTCAACACGCTCCCCTCAGAACTTCGCCCTGATCTCAACAGGCTTTTCTATTGCTCCAATAGGTTTTAATTACATCTTATGATTGTCTCTGTCTATTACCTTGATGTCCTATCTCCTCCACAAGCTCTTCCTAGTCTCAACCGGCTTAGAAGACAACCTGCACATTCAGCATGAAAAGAGCAGTGCAGCCCGCCGCGCAACTGTCATCACTTTTTGTGGTTTGAGTGGATGTGAATATGATGCACCTTGGGAGAATGACATGCTCAACGTGTCAATGGTGTGATGCGATGCACGGCGCCATGGGGTCGCGCGTTCGGAACATGCTGGACCTGGACAAGCATGAAATCATGAAACCACTCTTTCTTGGCTTTTAGGATGAGGATTTTGAAACAGGTCTGTGTTTGGTTTTTGTGTCGGTTGTGTGGTGTTGAAGAAATCTCGCACCGAGATTGGCGTGTTTGGGACTTCTGAAATCGTCCCTTGAAGGTGAAGAATAAGACATTCTGCAGTGACCGACTTTGGAACCTCTTGCTTCGAGTTCATGTATCGAACATGTCGAAGCAATTTCAAAACAAGATAAAAACAAGTGCTACGCAGTCAGAAACATGTGTTTACAGTACATGAATGATACCAAGACAGCTGGAACGTTTAAAGAATAAACATCTTGAGCCTGCCTGCGCACTGCGGACGCAGGCAGAAGCACTGGCAACTACAAATGTTTCCAACAACACAGTCAGGCACTTCAATCATTTGAACTTTGAACCTGACAGTGTTTCAGCACGGCTGTGGGTTCGACAGAAGTGACACACATTGCACGGCGGCCCTGGAGCCGACACCCTTGTTCGAGTGACTCATCAACAACTCAAAAATACATACATACCACGTGCAAATATGAAGGCAATGCAGTGATACCACGTGCAATTCAAGAACGTCAAGGAGGTGGGTTGGGAGACACACCGAAATACTAGCTGCAAATTGCCATATCTAGCTGATCTAGTCGCATACACCTGTGGCCACAACTGGAGTGATGGGAGCCTTTGTGTAGTGGCACTCCACCATAATTATGCAATGACCGTGTCGACGAGAAGCAGGAGGAGGAACCACGACTGAAGCAACGGACGACAATACCAAACATTGAAGCAGGGAAGCGCAGTGGTTTGAACCGAAAGACGGTATGTCCAAAAATAACCAGAAGGACATCCTATACAGGCATGTGAGTAGCGCGGACAAACACGTCCAACACACGTGCAACACATCACCATCTACTTGCAAACGAACGTTTTTGCATTTACAAAAAACAAAAGTGTTAAAACATCGCAACGTTCGGGTTAGAAACAAATGCCGCAAATACTTAGAACACAACGAAAAAACACCTGATCCAAGTGGCCATCAGCTCCCACAAACGGTTCTTCCGTGTCGGCGAGTGTGGCGCACTGGACCGTGCCACGGCCGCAGCTGATGGTGCAGCACTGCTGGCGCTTCCGCTGCTCGGTGCGGGAGGCCCTGGAGGTGTGATTGCGTCGTGCCAAGTGAATGAGGTCACCGAGACATACCAAACTCAATCCATCCCAGGGAATGCCGCGACTCTTGGCTAAAGAAATGCTAGCCACGATCAAGAACTCAGCTCTGATGCACCCTCCCAGGCGGAACTCCCGGACCCTTGAGGATTCCGAACAACAGCTTGGGAAACCTTCGCCCTTCAAAAGACCCTTTCAGCCTCCTGCGAACCTTAAAGCCCATTGAGGATCCTTTGCAAACGCCCAAACAAAATCTGCTGCTAGCGACCGGAAATCCTTGATGATGATGAACTCCTGACGGAGCTTTGGGCTCTGAATTCGGCTCTTTGGGCTCTGACTTAGGCTTGTTGGGCTCGTGCAGATTCGTAGTGTCCGCGTCCTGCGGTATTCACACGGAGTTTTCACAATCATGAATAGTCCCTGCAGGAAATAGACTGGAGTGACTCCTCAGTCATAACTAGACACACAGGCGCCTACCTGTTGTTCTGCTCTGACCGGGTCCAAAGTGAGCCTGAACAACTCAGGTGTTCAACCAGGTTGTCGTTGCTACCCAGTTTTCCTCTGAGTCGTCGACACAGCAATACAGCTGCTGACGTAGATGGAAGTTGTGGAGTCAGAGAGGGGATGTCTTAGCTAAGTGATTTGCGCCGCGAGTACCACGAAGAAAGAGATATATATATATATATATTATACGTATTATAGATATAAGTACATATGTTTCTTTGTTGGGTGACCCTGCTCTGGGAGATGTAGGAAAAAGCCGTTGAATGGAGCACTCGACACGCACAATCCCCACAAAGTGGTTCACCACGGCCAAACAACATTTGCATTTCACCTCACGTTTGAGCACTCGACACGCACGATCTCCGCAGAGGGTCGTGAAAAGGTAAAGCCGATTTGCATATTACCACAGTTCTTGCGCATCCGACAGGCACGATCTCTGCAGAGGGTCACGTTTCGTTGGCATCGGCCGGGCCACCCACCGCCCAAGAATCGAAAGACTAGATAGATGTCGACGTTGTAGTTGTATGATGTTGTATGCGTGGGTTTTGTAGGTGCCTTCACCTGTATCTCAACACCTGTATCCAAACACCTGAATCTCGATACCGGTTTCCAAACACTGCATCGCCTGTATCCCTGCGCCTGTATGACGATGACGATGATGTGGATGATGACGATGATTATGATGATGATGACGACAATGATATATATATATATATACACATACGTATGTGTGTGTTGTAGCAGTTGCATCACCTGCATCTCTACACATTGGTGATGGATGATGAGGATGAAGATGAGGATGAGGATGATGACGATTATGATGATGTTGATGTTGATTGTGAGACGGTGAAGATGAGAGGATGAGGATGATGATGATGATGATGATGATGATGATGATGATGATGATGATGATGATTTGACAGTTGTGGTTGCCAGCCGTTCTTTACGAAGAACCCTTCGCTGGTGCTTTCGAGTAAAACTATCCAAAAAACATAACAAAAAGCAGAATCAAAAAATTGCCCTCCCATCAAGAATCTTTTCAGACAATCTCAAACCCAGTGTATCAGGGCTGCTTCATGTTGACTATCCGCTTTCAGAGTGTCGTGGTCAAATCTTCTTGGGGGCAGGTCATCAACCTGAGTCACAACTCGATACAGCTGGGAGAAATGGATGGTCTTGAAAGAGCAAACAAGGATCCCTCCAAGCAATGGGTCGGATTCAATGGACATAGCGTGTCCAGCGGCCCACCGGACAAATGGATCCGTGGCATTTCTACTTTTTTTTGCACGTCTTCCAAGCAACCCATCGTACTCTAGAGGTCTCCTGATATTACGGAAGTGACATCAGTGACATCCACTACTAAAATATCCGATCAACAAAATAAGAGGTATATATATGGGGGTTTGCCAAAACCTAAGCTCCAATCACCATATACACCATATAAAAAGCCCCTTGCGCGCGCCCTTGCGCCTGCTTGCGCTGCCCACATGTTCTGATACTTTTTGAGATTTTGTTTTTCTAAATTAGCTGGCAGTTGTTTGACAATGGTTATGCTCAAGGCCCTGTCAGGCTGCTTTTTTCAAATTTTCGCAGGACTTCATCTTCCCCGTCTGCCAGTGGCTCCAAAGCTTCCTTTTAGTTTTTGCATCAGCAAATCTCGGATGCCACTTCGAAGGTCACGGACATGTTTAGCCTGAAGCCTGCTCCCTTGGTTTTCTGATCGGTTTACGCAGCTTCCACTTGTTGAAGTTTTCCAGTAAAGTGGGCCATGGGTCACATGGCATCGCTGTCCTTGCGCCTAGCTTGCGCTTACCTTGCGGAAAACTTGCGGAACATATATATATATATAGTATATATATATATATGCTTGCATTTCACACCCAAAAACAGAATTCTCACGAAAATGACGGAAAATTGAAGAACATAGCTGCAATCCACCTTGAGCCTTTGCAAAACAGCTACGATTCATCTCATATATAAATGCACCTGCGTGTCAATCTACAAATTTAAATAATCTACATAATGAACTTGCGCTCGCCCTTGCGGCTGCTTGCGCTCACTAAAGAAAAATGCAAGGTGTGATTTTCACATTTGCGTTTGGTCGAAATGTCTGTTTTGAGGGTTTCGGTAGACTCTCATATCACTTACCTTACCCTTTTCTCAGTCTCAGGATCACTGCAAATGGACCTCCCCCATGTGTCCGGCCATTCCTCCTCACGCGTACGATATTGATGCTTTCCTCTCCTGGCGAGGTGGACGGAAAAACCGGTCCGACCATCTCCGTGGCTCCGGGGTCGAAGCTGGCACGGAGTTAGTGAGCAAGCGGCCAGCGGCCAGCGGCCAGCTATCGGAGGCTGATCACCCCCCCACAACCAATCTGAAAAAGTTTGGCCGATCGTTGAATGGGCTTGAAATCCGATTGGCCACTCCAATGATATAACAATCATCTGCGTAGTAGCTCCAACATGTACAACCCCTTCCTTATCAGTAAACACTGGGACTGGGAAGGCTCCCTTCAGCCCAGCCTTCGTCGAGACACCCTTCTCACGTTTTTCGTGGACATGGCGCCGTCAGCCGCAAGCTATGCCGCTCGCGCCGTTGGCCGGCCGCTCTCAGGCAGCGCAGCGCCGGCGCTTCGTGGTGCGTGTTCGATGGCCTGAGACCTATAGTAGCTTCTTGTTACTAGTAGTGATGGCCTCCAACGCAATAGCGATGGCCTCCACCTAGTAGCTTGGTGTTCCATCCAAAAATGGTAGAACATCTCCAACATGGAGCCTGATGCCATCCGTGAAGAATCTCACGAAGGGAAGAAATCCCTTGGCAGCAAGGAAATCGGTTCGTGTTCAGGCCAGGTGGGACATGGGCGTTGAAAAAGTGGGGAGGTCTGTGGGAGCTTCTGCGATCTTTGGAATCTCGGCCCAACAGAACCAGTTGGACATGGCCAAAAGACATCAAAAAAACTTCCTTCGAATTGATGTCCACCCCAAATGTGTGGCTCGTGGCAGCAACGGCTGCTGGGCTCTGAGCCTGACATGGCAACAGGTATGATCTCTGTGATATGGAGTGTGCGTCTCTATCATCGCGGCTTTCGTCCGCTTTATTCGAACAAACATCTGCTTTAGTATAGTGAGAAGTGCGGGGCTGCTCCCATAGTTGAGAATGACTGGGTCTGACGAACGTCCAGGTCATCAACAGCCACCTTCTGATGAACAACACTCTGTCACAGCTTAAATGTCAGTTGAGCTTGTTCTTGCAAGCCTCTGAGCTTGCCAGTATCAACAACTTTGGTCAAAGACGTCTCAATAGGAGGCATGCTGGAATCCCCCAAATCTGGGCAGCCACATCGTGGCCCAGCAGAAGTAACGCAGCTTAGAGAAATATAAACATATCGAATAGATAGACAAATCACAGCTGATGGTGCTGCACCAAATGCTTCTGAGAAAGGTAAAACAAATATGTTTGCTTCTACTTCTGCAGCATGACAAGTAAGTCGTCCTTATTAAAGTCCTTGCTTGTAGTTTATTGCTTGTAGTTTATGGCAAGTCATTTGCAATATGCAAAAAATGCCCTATAAATAAACGGATGCAGCGGAGTGTAATACATTCTCATGCAATCATCATTTACATGTTGGCCTGACTGGTTCATATCTTGTCAACACTTCAGCCATGCTTTCTTTCGCCTGGCATCACAAAGACTATTCTCAATGGAGTCCTATTGAAATCAGTGTCCCACAGGTGGGTGCAAATGGGCAACCTGAGCAAGCATCTTAACACCAAATAGACAGAGAAAACTGATTCTCCCGTGGATACATTTGGATATCATTCAGGTCTATTGGGACATTTTTTTTTTGGATGGTCTTTTCCGCTTGTGTTAACAGTTTGCTCATCAGAAACTTCAGATTTAGACCCAAGGCGGCGGTCAAGGAATGGTTTGTCAACCACGCTCTTTATGAGGAACCCTTCTTTTCAACAGTGAGGCTTGCCAGCTCAAAGTGCTCGTTGTCAGAGTGACTTCATTTTGTTTTGTTGGGCCATGCTCTATGAGCGAGATTCAGTTGACTGTTGAAGGCTCAATTCTTAAACATGTGGTTGTCTTCCTCTATCCCGCAAGAGAACACAAACATTTCAGGAGTCTGCTAGGGGAACCCCCTCTCTGATATGGATTCAACATGTGGTGTCATGTATCGTGTCTGCAAAGGGGATTGTCACATCGGCGGGATCAGATTGCAGATCAATGGCTCGCTTCTTTGCCCTTGAAACATCGATGGGCTATTTGTATACTGGGAATGGGCTATCTGAGAATCGCTTTTTGACGAGGTGAGTCAAAATGGCGGTTGGTCGATGGTGAACCCAGAGTCCCAAGCCATGCACACCGGCCAAACTTTTGGTTCACTTGCTGCAAAATGCAATGGGTCTTGCGTATTATCTACAAACATTGGGATTGATAGCATGTCGCTGCTGCTTGCACATGTGACACTCTCGTGCGCCATTCTAAAGATTCTGGGGAGTCTCACTCCAACTCATTTCCCTGTCTTGACATTAGGGACTCCCCCATTGGACACTCTTTTTGTAGACCTACATATGTTGAGACCTAAGAAGCCCACGAAAGGGCAAAAAAACCGTCCACATCAGGCGCGGTGAGCAATGAAATGCACTGAATATAATCCGATGCTCAGTTTGAGGAGTTCAGCCTGAACTAGTTGATTAATTATATTACGGTTTGAATTGCCTCCAAAAAAGCTGAACAAACCCTTAAAACTGTACTACGTATACACTGTACGTATAGTGTCTGATCAAAACTCACAATGACCCTGCAACAAACAGAAATGGTTGCGTAGAACACCCTTGCACTCATTGCCATCTACTCACGCTTTAGATCCACCGTAATCCACCATCTATCTTGGTGAACAAAGCAGAGGACTGAACATTGACCGTGGATTGTCTTCCAGAAGTAAGTGATTTCTGAGATCTACTTCTGGGGATTGTCACAGTTGTGAGCTGCAGCCACATACCCACCAACAAACGCATCAGCGAGTGGCATTGCCTTTTCAAGACTTGGTGGGGAAAAAGAAGTTTGCAGGACTTGGATGGACCGGCAGGATACGTTCACCATTGGAGATCACCAACGAACACAAACAAATACAGCACCCTGATTGTTCAAATGAGATCTGGAAGAATTGTCCAATATCATGACAAAAGCGACCTGAACTATCGAACTAGCTCTTCAGCATGAACACCCGGCCAGAACTGTCAGAACTTAATCCTGCTGTTGTACTGCTCCTTCAAGGTGAGATTGTAGGAAGAGACCTGCCAACTTGGGACAGAGAAGAATAGGTTATCGACATCAAAGCCGAAATATCCACCTCCGGATGCTCACCGAAAGTGGTGGTTTTGGTGTTTTCTGCCTTGACATCTTTGACCCGCATCTTGATGGGGAATGCCCCGCAACGGGCATCACGTGAGTTGCCACTGCTCCCGCGAGCGGCGCCCCCCTGACCATCTCCTCCATGAACACAAACGAGCTTCCCAGAAATAAGAGAGCTTTTACACGGCTACAGTACGAAGGAAGGAAGGCACTTCTCAACACTCGCTGAGTCTCCAAATCATGCTGATGTGCTGCCAAAGAGGAAAGGCACCCAGCTCAAGCTGTCTGTGCCAAACTTTTGGGTAGCTGACATCGGCGGTTGGAAAGACTTCCACAATATATTTCAGAAATAATCATGTTAAAGGGCAAAAGCTGAAAAATTGAAGCTTACATTATTGCGCAAAAATCGGAACCATGCCCAGCCGCTACTGGCAAACGACAATGCGAAGCCCATACTAGTGCATGTGACGGCGGTAACATAGTATAGGCAGGGACTGTGCGCGTGCACCAAAAAACATGAAACAAAACAAAACAAAACAGGTGGACTGGAACTGGAAGTGTTCTAGAAGCCCAACCGCTCCCTCCTCGCAGAAAAAAGAAAGCGCTTCCATCATCTAATCTTACATATCTTACATTGCTTGCCATGTGTGGATGATGGAAACGACCACGTGACCGGCTGGATTGGTCAAGTTTTTCACTAACCGTAACCCTCGCGACACATGATCAGACGGTGACATCTAGTGAGCACCCAGTAGAGTCCCAACACAACACTGTGTTTAAGTTCAAGTGAAGCGGGGCCGACTTCTTTTCAACGAGAGATTCGACGTTAATATCCGAGTTACTCTAAGCTTTACACGTAGTCGTTCAAGCAAAATCATCAACCTTTTTCCATGCAAACCTATTGTCTTTCTGAACCACAGTTTCGTGGTGTCGAGGTTTGACGACAACAAAGCACCGATCTTCTCACCGTGCCTCCAACGAACAAGAACCCCAGTATTCCGTTCAATGAGTACAGCGCCAGCCAACCCCAGACCATAGATGGTGGTGTTTCCGAACATATTTTACCTGCAGCAATCATGTTGCAACTACCTCTGACAGTGGTACAGGTATCACACATCAAGCTATGCATGGACCATGGAGATCATGCTACTGCTAAAGAGTGCGGCTGAGACAATCCATGACTGGCTCTGATGGTCTTTACAGCTCTACTAGAGGGGTTATTGTTGGAATACCAAACTGTGGCTTTGCGGCCACTGTTGCCAGCAGGAGTTGACTGGCATGCCGGGCATGCCGCACAACGCCGCACAAAGGGGACTGAAGTTCACTAAAGCAAAGTGCGAACTTGGGAAGGTGCTTTTCTGCTGCAAAGCGGGCGATCAGAAGGATGAGTGCATGTCAGAGTTTGTTGTATACTCACTTTATTCGAGGTGCATTTATGTATCTGTTAACACTTCATTACATCCATCATGATGATCATTAGATGCGAAACTGTTTAAAGCTTGTGAAGCAAGTACAGTGTTTGAAGTACACGTGTGTCGTATCTCCAAAGCCCCGAGCGGTTGAGAACAAACAGGTCTCTCCACAGTGTAGACGAGTGGAAATTTGAGAGCCTCCGGACGGTTGCTTGGCCAAGGCGTTTTGCTGGCGCCCAACTTAAGATTCTCTGGAGTGAGTTTACAGAATTCTCTGCTGAAGGCCATGGCTACTAGGTGGAGGCTATTGCTACTAGTAACAAGAAGCTACTAGGTGGAGGCCATCGCTATTAGGTTGGAGGCCATCGCTACTAGGGTGGAGGTCATTACTACTTGAAAGAAAGTTCCATGCTTGCATCTCTTGGATGCTCTTCCCAGAAACCTCGAACTTGACTAACACCTTCCTCGCGGACCAGCAGTTCCTGAACTGACGCTTAGGTCAGCTTGGTCTAAAGCACAACGGGTATAGCTTGCCAAGGACCGAGCCGCTTTGCCCAGCCGACAGCAAGCTCTTTTGCATCAGAGTCAATATCTCAAGGATATGTCGCCAAGACTTCATGGCAAGTTTGCATAATACCACAGATCAGTGGTATTCTTGTAAAATCGTGTAAACACAAATCGCCGAAGTAGTCAGGTGCATCCACATTCTCCATGCTGCGCTTTGACAGATCTTTTGCAAAGACAACGCTAAACAAGTGTACATGTTGCACATTAATCAGTTATATCAATTCAAATCTCTTCGTATCCATATATATATATATGTGTATGTCTTCGATGTTACACAGGACTGGACTCTGAAAAAGGATCCCGTAACACCTTGACATCTGATATGAACTCTGGTTGGTCACGTCAACACAAGGGGTCGGCGTGTGAAACACCAACAGGGCCTAGACACCCAATTCAACGCAAGAAAACAATCTTCTTTGTGAGTTACTAAATGGCGATGGCATCCAACCTAATAGCAATGGTAAACACCCAAGATCGACAACTCTGTTCATATTTAGTGTTCGAACACCACGTCTTTTTACCACGTTTTTCAGCAGCCGTTGACCAGATCGAACGAGTGTATTGTTAGTTAAAGTTCACTTCCAATGGATCATCAATTCTCCCCAAAATAGCTACTGTGAGCTTCGTCGGGGCACAAATTTAAGTGGACAGTGTTGGTATCCAACACCGTGTGCATTCATCTTCGTCTGGGCAACAAACCCATCAACCCTTGCAACTGTTGGTTCTGACGCTGCATGAACACAAGAATGTGGAGACATAAATAAGATGGATCAGCGAAATTGCTTCAACAGCTCAAACTGAAATAACGACTGTATACAAATTGTAAAAACATTACAATTCAGCAAAAATCAAAACGATTAAGGCAGTGATTAGCAAACTGATCTTTGCGGGGAACGCCAAACCCACGCAATTGCCAAACTTGAAGTGGACAAAATAGACAAACATGTATTAGTGCACGTACCATATCGTAGCATGGTAACATTGTGTAATATTCATGTTGCGAAAGGATCGCCACGCAAAAAGCATAAATCGATCCATCGTCGAATTCTCCCAACTTACCAAAATAAAACAATGAGTCGCGAGTGAAGCTCCCGCTGATCACAAGACACAGCAATGCTGGAAAGCTCCAGGCTACCTGCTAACTGTGGTGTTCCACTTGATTTCTCTATATTTATCTTAATATTCTGCAGCTACAATCAGCCTATGTAACACTTGTGGCCCAGGGGGGGTGGCGAAAGCTAGGGGAAGAAGCAGCTGGGAGTCGCAACATATTATGGTCGAGGGCAGCAAGAAGCAGCAGCAGCAGCAGTAGCAAACCACTAAGCAGCAAGCAACAGCAGCAGCAGCAAATGCGCGATTGACCAACGCCGACAGGTTTCTTACAAACAGTGAACAGTCACAGCTGGGATCTCAAAAAGATGTTTGTTGTTGGTGTAAACCGTTGTTTGGCGTAAACGGTGCAAACCATGGTTTGGTATAGGCGGTGTTTGGTGTAAGCCATGGTTTGGTGTAAAGCGTGGTTTGGTGCAAACCATGGTTTGGTGTAGGCGGTGTTTGGTGTAAGCCATGGTTTGGTGTAAAGCGTGGTTTGGTGCAAAC